ATATATATATATATATATATTTCAAGAAGAAAATATTTATATCATTAGGGTTTCAAAACTTTTCTGTTTATAAATCAGAACTTGAGAACTTAAGTAGCTATGACCTTGGAATGAAAATATCTAGAGTAAAACATGATTTAATATTTAGTTTTCAAAAAATGCAGTATAATTGGTTTTCATGTAACGTGCCTTAAAATGTTTATTCTCTATTTATTGCAGTTTGATCATTAATACAACATAACGTCCATGATGTTATGTCCTGTACCTCTGTTTTATCTAACAGTCTTTTAAAGAAATTATTAAAACTTATACTGTCTGTATCAAACCAAGTTTGTCAGTTTGGCTTGAGTAACCTGAAAAAAAATGAAGGCACAGAGTGACCTAAAAAGCATTAGAATCTGGCTTTCGTGCGGTTCTCCAGTGCTTTAAAGTGGAAATAAAGAGGCAAAATTGTTTTGTGCTAAAAAAAACTTGTAAGCATCACTAATATGCACAGATACTGCTTTCCTGATACATTAAAAAGGCTCAACTAGTTTGTCACCTACTTTCTGAAAAAAAATCTAATATCTTTACTGTTTATTTCATTCTTGTGCTTTGCATCATTAAACAGCCTTGCATAAATTCCTCTGCATACCTGCTATCTATGATGATAAACATTATTCAGTCAGAGCTATTTTAATTGCACTTGAGTGTTATGGAAAGGGTTAAGTAGATAAAATTGTGGCACTCTCTGCTGAGATGTAACCAGTCTTTTAATAACTAATTATTTCCTGGTAAGTTATTTGGTAAATAAATGGAATAATCCTGCTGATGTATTTTGAAATACTATCCTCCTTACCCCAGACTTTAGTAATGGCCAGTGCTAATATTTCACATTAGTAACTTCATCCCTTTGCACAAGTGTGCACTTATCTGGCTCAGTACCAGGACTGGATGATTTGTTTATTAAATGTCTTTGAGCACTTTAGTTTGAGGCTCCTATTTAATGCACTTGGTACAAGTCAGAAAAGAATGTATTTTCCTAAATCTAAAACAACCATATAACTCCCTGATTTATGATCACATTTTCATTATCTCAATTGATTTAAAATACAGAGTGACATGAATAGTTTGAATATCAAGTGAGCTTAACAACTAGTCAAGGAATGCACTCAGTACACTGTACAGGAGGAATCTAGGACTAGAGAGAACAGTGTTGAGGAAACAGCGTTGACTCAACTAGTGTTTTAGCTCAAGACTAAAGTAAGAGGCCTCTTTTTGGAAGACGTTAGGCAATTAATGAAGTACAAGTTGCTGCAGGCCAACAGCCAAAGAGGAACAAAAATGGTATTGGTCGCATGGCTGTTTCCAGTAAGAGCTCTATGATGTTCTTTAAAATCGTAAGTCTAATTCCTTTTTCCCCATACATACAAACTAAAACCAAATTCTCACACACAGCAGATAAGGTAGCAGATATCCATTAGGCCTGGGTTCCTTGAAATTGCAGAAGGGAATTTGTTTACTGAATAGTTCTGTATAAAAACCAAATCATACAGAAAATTAATATTTTGGGGAAAACCTGAACTAGAACTACTTTCCCTGATTGCTAGATTTCTATATGCAGGAAATTTGTTTATAAAAATTAATTTAAAGGAAGCCTGAACCATCCTAATGACAAAATCCTGCTGAGGAGTGATTGGCGATCATGAAACATTTGAACATTCCACTTCTGTTAATTTATGGTTCGTGAATTTTTACTTGGATAGGCAACAATTTATTGCTTTAAATATGCTTTCCTAAAAGTAGCAACAAAATTCCCAAAATAAATAATTGCTATAACATATGTAGAAGGTTTTGTTTTCATTTTTGGAACTTCAGGTGTGTTTTATTTCACTGTTGAAACCCTCCTTTTAGCAAAATAAGATACACTGAAACCATGAAATATTAGTGGGAACATGTAGTGAGAAACTTTTCGACAAAACATTACAGGACACCTATATTTGAAAATGCTTTTTGAGGCCCCAGTCTTCTGCAGGATTAGCCCAACTGGAAAAGAAATTGCTTGGGTAGCAGTGTTTTTAAATATACCAATGAAACAGCATGTTGTTATCCCAATATTCAAGGAATTATGGGTACTCCTTCTAAAATATGCAGTCTGCAAAACATCTTGCACTGATCCATGCAAGGATTTCTAGGACCATTAAGATATTACATAAACAGCCTTTTTTGCTGTATACAGTACTCCTAATCCTTCTCATTCTTGAAAATTTAGCTTAGTAGAGCTAGTTTTCTTGCTCTGGGAAAGATGCATATTTATTTGTTATTAAATTTATATGCCACCTGACTCCCAATGACTCTGGGTGGCTCACAAGTAAAAATATATTTTTAAATACAATCAAAAACAAAAATACGAAATAAAAGATAGCAAGATGATAGCACTAGACTGGAATGGAAAAAAGTAATCCAAGAGGGCTTCATTCATCCTTGCGAACGGCCTGGGAGAAGAACCAGGTCTTCAAGCCCTTTCAGAATACCAGTAGGGTGGGGTCTGTCCACATCTCAAAGAGAACTTCATTCTAGAGGGCACATACTGCTACAGAGAAAGCTTACTTCTGGGGTTCTAATAGATGCCATTGTTTAATTGAAGGAACCCAAAGCGCTCCCACCCTGCCAGATCAAATTGGCCAGGCAGATATATGGGAGATAGGTAGTCTCTTAAGTAACCAGGCCCTATGTCTATATAATGAACACAGAATTTGTATTCCCAGAGTGTGTGAATGCTAGTAGTGAAGTTGTTTTTTCAAAGGTCCAGATGCATTCCTGAAGGATGAGTCTTTCAATGGCAGTTGGAAGACTCTCAGTATAAACAGGCAGGCTTTCTTGTATGCCCACTGCTGGCATATGGACACATGTTGCCTTCATCCCTGCTTCTCAGTGCTCAGAGGCATAAGATTAGTTACCATTGCAACAGACATCTGGACTATCAGGATTGGTTTAACTGAACCAAACAACTCTTTATGTTCAGAGGAGGTGAAAGCATTATAACAAGTACTCTTCATGGGCATATGCTTTGGGGAAAGACAATATAGCTTGTGTGGATTAAAGAAAACTCCTAAATTTTTTGCATGGTCTGAGCTTAGAAGTGCAAGTAATATATTTAAAAGATCAACTATAACTATATATCTGTATCTATATCTATCTAACTATATTTGAAAAAAACTTTTTTTAAATTTTCATGTAAAGATATTTGTTATATATGACAATTAGATTTGCAACAGATGATATTGTTGCTTACTGTAATTGAAGTAGTTGGATATTGCAATGTGAAATATGTATGTCAACATACAGTTGAGCTAATATGGAAGTGTTCAGTTATGGAGATTGGATCAGAGTGTGTCTGACACAATTTATAATCAGCCTGGTATATCAAGCTGATAATATGCTAATGTTCCTAGAAGAAACATTTGTAACAGAAGGATATATTTAAAAAATGCTTTATATGAAATCTAGCAGATATTTTTCTGAAGCAAGTGAATTTTATACCAGTTAATTTCACAAATCTGAATTATATATTATAGTAATAGCCTTGAAAGTATCTTTCCAGAAATTATAACCTCTTCTTTGCCAGCTGAGAAATTGAAATTAGCTAGCTGAAATTAGTACTGCAAGAGCGCACCCAGCTATTATCCTACCAAAATGGTGGTTGGTTTTCCTTTAAAAGCTGTCTCCTAATTCTTTCCCACAATTTACAGATAAGGGTGAGGTCATAACTAACAGTAAACCTGATGCAGCTGTAAAATTAACAGATGAAGATCTGAGAAAATTCTTGGCAAAGAAAACTTTGGTAATGTTTCCTCAGAAAGCACAGTTTCCTTTTGAGAGAGAGCCAGTTTTCTCTTCAACAGAAGGCTTAGGTAAGAAGTCAGCAGATGAAGAATCATTCTCTTCATCAAGTTCTGGATCAGACTCTAGCTCTGATTCTGAAGATGATGACTTCAAAGAAAAGCCACACAGACAAAAGGAACTCTGCTGGACAACTGATAACAAGCAGTTGGAATCAGATATTATGAAAACTGCTTCAAAACAAAGGCCTAAAGAAACATATTTAAAGAGCAAGAACTCAGGAATAGTGATTGCAGAAAGTCAAAAGCTGACAGAAGTTTTATCTGAACGCCTGGAAGTATCTCTCTCTAAAGCTGATCCACAGAGAACTCAGGTGGTACCTCCACAAAACATATCACAAAATCTGGGACAGGACAAAAGCATAACAAAGGAAGTGCAAAAAACTGAGATGCAAGACAGAATTTCTGAAGAGCCAGGGGCAGAAGTTTCAAGGGAAATAGTGCCAGTGATAGAAAGCACCCTGAAGGAGGAGATCATCCCAGAAGCAGGAGCTCAAATTGAAGAACAAAGCACTCCACAGGGTATCACTTTATCTTCTTCTGCATTAGTCCTGTTGGTTGAAAGGTTTATATAAGCAAATGTCTTACATTCTGACTTTCCTATTATTTGAAAAATATCTTGAATTTTTTTTTTCTGCTTTCCTAATGTACTTTCCCAAGAAGGCTTTTTCACATTACTGATGAACTGCTATACATTTTTGCAATTATATTCTCTGATTCTCCCATTAAGCTTTAAGGGTGCTAATGGAAGATTGGGGGGGGGCAACATTCTGTTTCTACTACTTTCTCTTGTTTGAAGTATTAACGGAAGTTAGAATATTCAAAACTGAGATGACCAAGTGAAAATGTCTTCATAAAGGAAATGAGAATTTTGTCCTTGCTTGCTAAAGCACAAACTATAGACTTTTGAGTGACCTGTTTTTTAGGCTTTTCTTCTATCTGTCCACACTTGTTCATAGCCTTAATGTTGCTTTTCTGTTGGAACTTGCTATTTATGTAGTACTTTTCATTCTTTTTCACCCCTTCTTGCAGTTTTCTGATAGATACATAAATCAGTCCTGTAAGGAAGCAAGTTTACTTTGATCTCGTTGGGTTGTCAAGAAAACCAGTGTCTGTAGGTTAGCAAAGATGTTGCTTTTAGTGATTTAGTCATTATAATGCAGCGTTTGCACCAGATGCCTTTCCTTTTGGCTCTCTTGGTATCTGAATTTTAATTCTCCTTCACTCCTTTAATATTCTTTTTTAATATTTATTAAAGTTTTACATAGATTAAAAGCTAATTCAAAACTAAAAAAGATATACAAATAAAAAAGAAAAAGAAAGAAAAGGAAAGAAAAGAAAAACATATAAAAAGTGACTCCCCCCTCCCTCCAAACAAGTATAAATATTTGCAGTAACTTAGCTTCTCTAGTATTACTGGAAAAAAACCCTCCTCTTCCCATTTCTCATCCCTTAACAATAACCAAATTATAAAAAATTCATCAATCTTACTCAGCAACAGCATTATGAGTACCAGTAATGCTAACCTATATATTTTAACCTTATACAAATAAATTCATTATATATTTTGACTTATATCTTTCTCTAATAAGTAAAACATAAACATTTATCCCCATAGGCATAAAAAATACCAGTAATAGTAACATATATATCTTAAATCAAGTAGGTCCCTTTTACATTCTAACTTACAACTTTCTTTAACAAGTAGGACATAGAAAGTTTATCCCCATGTGAAAAAATCTTTAAATCCTCATCTTACAGTCCTGTTTAAAAAAAAAAAAAAAAGATTCCAATAATAACAACCCAAAATCACAACTTATACAATTTAACCCTGATCAAATAAGTCTACTTTGAACTCCTGTTTCTTCTTTTTAAGAGGCTTGATCTTCAGTCGCTTCTTCAAATAAAGTCTCACCTGATGATCTCTTACCGTTTTCTCCCTGTCTATATTCAGGAACAACTTCAGTAATTTAATACTTTCCTTCTGTGGATCCAAAATAAGATAACTCTCAGAGTCACTCTTCTGATTTATAATCTGGATGTCCCCTTTAATTGTTAAGACATCAATGAGCATAATTTGTAAGTCCAATGCAGCTTCTTTTTCCATGCCTTCCATATCTCTTTTATAGTTTGATAATTTTTTAAAGTCCATTTTAAGATCCCTATTCAAATCATCCTCAGCCTCTATTTTATCCAATAGAATCTTTTCTTCTTCTATAACCTCTGTTGGCTCCACTTTGAAAGTATCAGAAAATTTTAAAAATAGGTCTTGAACACATTGTTCCCAAGCTGTCTTAAATTCTTCTATAGTAAAAGAGTATTCCTCCATTATGTTAGTATCTTCTCCTTTAATTGCTCTCTGGTTCTCTCTAATTAACCTTCAAAGCCCAGTCTTATCTTTTGTTTATTTTCTGAGTCCAAACTTTCCCACAGTAAGGTTTCTTATAGTTAATTCCAACATCAACTGTATTTTTATAAAATTTAAAATGGTCCGTAAAAACTATTCTTTCAGATCCATCTGGCCCTTACAGTCAACATTCTAAACTCTCTTTTGCTGTTTCAAAAATTAATTTTTTCTTTTTAATCTTTAAACTTACTTGAAACTTCTTTCTTCAAGGATAGAAAGAAATTCTCTCGCTGTGCAGCAACTTGCCCTTCAGAAGTTCTTTAATTTACAAATAAATTGGTAAGTAGTTTCCAATTGTCAATTAAAAGAGGAAGTGTATGCAAATCTAGTGTCCTTTTGAAGGCTCTGTACTGCAACTTGGGCTCGATGTTTCTTGCTACTCCCAGAGCACTCAACCTGCTGGAGATTGCTAATTTACAATCTCTTCACAGGGAACCTCTGTGAGGAGTACTTGTGGGTGATCCAGTCATCTCCTTTGTCCAGAGATGGTTCCGAAGATCTGGATCCTTTGCCGGCTCCTCTTGTCCACTGTGGCTGTTAGCTCCACAAAAACTGAGCCATCTT